GCATTATGATATTTGTCTGCCAGGCTGATCACAGGACACTTGCAATTTATGACAGCTATCACAAAGAGAAAAATAAACATAAAATACCATTTATTATAGCCACATATACATCAGTAAAGGGAAAAGGGAATAGAGGTGATAATCTGAATATTTGAGGCAAAACTTTTTTCTGAAATACTGAAACATTTGAGTCAAAATAATGTCTTACACTTAAAAAGTCACTAATTTTGATGGTCTTTCCCTCAAAAACTGTGTTGACATATCCTTTTACATCAAATAAAAAGCCTTTGCCAAGAAAACTCATGATGAAAACATGATTGTAAGACCAGCATTTAACCTAGTGAAGAAAATAACTAAACCTAGTGAAGAAAATAACTAAAAATTCTCATGGGCACTTTCAAAGCATTTCAAGGCGTCCACTTCTGTGTAATACCAAATATACGGTAGAGTATAGGGATTGGTTTTTAAACTAATTGTATTTTTGGTTATGGCCTACACACAGGGTACAGAATTTCATGAAGTCAATGAAAAAGAAGCTGAAGAAAAAGATGATTCAAATGCCGAGCCACTGACAGTCAAGGTTTGCTCAAATTAGACCAGATAATTATGAAAGAATAGAAAATTGACAAGGATAATGCAAGGATAGGTGCTTCCATGTGGGTGATTTAAATAGCAAAGAATGAAGAGAGGCCCTTTTTATAATCTTACTGAGAAAATGAAACACAAAGGTTATCAGATGGTTTTGTTACAAAGATTATGCCCTGAAGCCACATTGGATTCATTCTGAATAATCATTATAAGAATATATAGTTGTAACCATAACTTATATTTGTAACATACAAATAAATGTCTTTTCATAATTTTCACTTTCAAGTCCCAACGAGACCTCTTTTCACATGTTTTCAACCCCACTTTAAGGGAACCAACGAGTTCTTTTCAGGTAATGATTGTCCTCAGGTAAAGAGGACCCGCTGTCAATATCTCAGTCCCCTCTCCCCTCTCCCCTCTCTTCTTTTTCTCCCCTGACCCTGTTTGGTTTGACCTCTAATTCTGTGGTCTAAAAACCCAGAGAATTCTAAGCTCCTTCTCTTTGCTTCTCCCTGAACCACACCACGAACATCTAAACGTATGTCAACCTGATTTTTAGAGTAGTTCTTTACAGCAGCAACTCTTAACCTTTGTTCCATCCAACACACATGATGAATAATGTCCATATTCAACATGAGCAACCCAAGTTGACGTGTAATCCCTGCCACTAGATGTAACTCCTCCCCTTTCCTTCTGACTCAGGAGAGCAAATCAGAATGCAAAGGAGTGTAATTATTCTAGAGTTACGAAGCTTCTATGATGTTTCTTTTCTTTAATAACCTCATGATTGTAAAAATCTTTTTTCATAACTATAGTTGAAAGCCAGTCGCTGCCCTCTAGTTCTCTAGGAGGTAGTTGTAACTGAGTCCCAATCACTTGAAAGTTATTATACAAATTAAAACTATGTATTTTTAAAATTACTTTGTCATTCCACTTTGAGTGGGTGACACTTGACAGCAAGCCATGTGTGCAACAGACACACACAAGTGTCCACAGAGCTGGATGCAATCTGCATTGAGAACAACTCCAAAGGAGACTTCAGAAAGAGAAGATGGGAGGTCTGCGGAAAGACTTGCTTGAAAGGAAACCTCATTTTGACCATCCTCATCATTGAAGAGACAGAACAGATAATCAAATTATCAGTTCCTTTTCTCCAGAAGAGGCAGAAATCCAGACCAGCAACCTCTGTTCTGACATTGGACAAATATTACCATGCCACACTGGCTATAACCTTGAAACAGGAACCAAGTCTAGTACTGATTTGTCACTGGGCTGAGAAGGGGCAAGACAAGACACTCCTGTTTCCAGGAATGTGCACTTTTGCATCATTATTGTGTTCTCCTGTAAATTGCTTAGAGCTAGTAGGCATCCCAGCCTCTCTTTCTCTCCCAGAGTTCCCAATGTGTTTTCATTATTCACCAGCCGAGCACATTGCCTAGACTTGAGGCACAATAGTGAAAGATGAAGAAAGGAAAATTAATATTTTTTACATGGGCTTCCTCATCTTGGGTAGATTTATGAATTTTGTTTCTGTCGTGCAGCAGTTAGCATTTTTAACAACGAGTGGGGAACAGTCTTAATTGTTTTCTTTATTGCCTCAAGAGCTCCAAGGACTACTTGTGATATGTCGCCATTTACATTTCACATCAAATTTAAAATATGTTTGAAATGAGCAAATATTTATTTTAATTTGATCCATCTGGGAAATGAAATACTAAAAAGACAGCTAAATTACTCTATTAAATTCAGCGATTTGTAAACAATTTATATGTTCATTTGTTCTGGGTTAAAAATGCCCCAAAGCACAAGTTTTATGAAACTCACAAAGTAAATTGCATTGTATTAATCTGATGAATGCAGGCCATGATTTCTTCCTCTTCACTCCATTAATTTATTTCCTAACTTGAGTTAATTAGTGAGGTTCCTATTTTTAAAAGCTCTTTGAAATTCATTGGGAGAGGAGGACATTTGCGGGAACTGCTTTGAAAACCTACCACAGAGAAAATGGGCTAAATACAAACGGTAAATTCCCCCAGGACATTATCGCACATTGAGCACCTGATTGCCATTCAACCATCTTTATGCTGAGAACACAGTGGGTGATTAATATACAGTTGGTATAGGAAAGAAGGAAAGAGCTAGAAGGAAAGAATGAGAGCAGCAGCAAGAACAAACTCATTCCAGACAACTACTGATGGGATCTGACGGTCTCCAAGGTCCTATGCATCTCTAAATAAAAGTCCGCAGCATTCTGATTTTATGCTGCAAATGGAGACCGGCTTTAACTTGGAACACCCACTGCAGGAAGAACAGACATCTACTCAGAGAAATACAGGAAACACGGAGATTGGTAAAATAGAGAGTAATGATAAATCAGTGATTTTCCCTTTGGCCAAAGGTAGCCTTAATTCCTAAGTTAGACTGGGAGGTAGTTGAAGACCACTTGCTAATGCTTGTCTATCCTCTAATTCTTATCCACTGAGGCCAGTCCCCTCCAATCAAAAAAAAGAAAGGAAATTTAATTAACTCACACTAAAGTGTAAATTACAGCTTACAGTTTAAGATACGCCTAAGGGAATGTTTACGGAGGAAGGGAGAACTAGCATTTCAACAAACATTCAAGCTTTAAGCAAATACAATGTCCATTCTTTCCTGTAATATTTTGAGTGGTAGCAGCCAGTGGGTGATAGACTGAGTTGGGTACCCTTCCCACGTCCCAAGATCATGTTACCTACTCTAACTCCCAGAACGGCTGGCCCTAAGAGGCAGCAGCCACCAGGCTCACCTACGCTTGTCAAAGTCCCGCCTTGTTTCATTTTCCTTTCACCACATGCCTGTGAAAGTCACAGACAGACACGTATTTCCCTGCCCTGAAAAGCACAGAGGGACTCTCGGAGCTGCACTTAGGTGATTCTGAACTAGGTCTTCTCTAAGTCTCAAATTCCTCCTCTAGAAGATGGAAATATTGGTCACCTGGCACAGCCCCTAATGTGGAGTAGCATCCAAATATTCTCATTTTGCACAGACACAGAGTAAAGTCAAGTCAGCTGGTCACCTGCCACAGCCCCTGCCACAGCTCTCAAAGCCCACTTCCCTGGAGGCACAAGGCAGGGACACCGTCCACTTTATCCATGGCTGCCTCTGAGTACTTTGAAATTCATTAGGGCAATTATTTCAAATTGAATAAAGAGGGTTTAAAATTAGACCCTAAACTTTTAACAATTAGTGACACACTGGAAGCCAGGGGCTGGTCTGAGACAACATCCAGGTCTTTCCATCACTCTCCAAGTGCCTTCTAACTCTTTCTCATGTCTACCTCCTGTCCCTGGAACCTGCTGCCCAGTTGCCCACACCAAAACAAACAGCATCATGATTTATTCCTTTTCCTGATGCCACAGGGGACAGGGAAGAGGGAAGAAGGGAAACGTTTGTTAGAGCTATTCCTTCTTGACTCACACTCACACACCCACAATACACCCTTTTTATTGTTTCTGCTAAAAAGTATATTTTAAAACCCTTTGCTCACACACATTTCATGTGTCTCCATTAAAGCCTTGTCTCCCAGCGACTAGGCCCCTTTTCTGAAGGCTCTGGGGTCAACAGACCTATGGGCTCTCTTTAAATAGACAAGGCCTCAACTTTAAATACTTGTATCACAACAAAAGTTTAGAAAGCAAGCCTAAGAATTGGGTCTGTGAGGAGACTATTCAAATCCTAGGAATCGGTGAAGCCAGATTTTCTGGATCAGATAAACAGGCTGTCCTGCCAAGTTGCTCTGGTCTGGTAAGGAGCAGACTCACTAGTGGCAGAAACACAAGCCCTGGAGAGTGCTGAGAGCTCCCACGTCTTAAGATTGGGTAGGAGAGACTCCGAGGAATAAAATAGCAGCCGGAGAGTGTGTGTCGCTCACAGCCTGCTTTCTCCAAAGGAGGAGAAAAATGGGAACAAAAGTTAATTGAACAAGAAAGGCTTCCCCCGATAAAAGACAGAGCCAGATAAGACGGTTCCCTTTATCTCTGCAGAACTTGGTCTTCTGCAAAGGACTTTCACCTCTCCTGCATTACCTAATTTGTCCCTCATATTCTCTAGTATTATTGTTCCCATTTTACCGAAGATTTCTTTGTGACTTCCCAAAGGTCACAGCAGTGATGTTCTGGAACACACCCAGACCTTCTGAATTCTGGTCTAGTGCCCTATTCACCATAACCTACCATGAATCCCCAAAACACAGAGAAGAAACACCCAGAGACCCAGAGCAATGCCCTCATTCTGCTACAGACTCTTCCAGCTCAGTGAACTGAAGTGTGCAATTCTAGGGCAAGCCTTCCCCTGGAGAGAGCCACAAACAGCGGCACGGGTCGAGGGGAAGGTTGGGAAGCTGCTCACGCGTTGACCCCCGGCCTGGGACTCACTCAGGAAGATGATGGTCTGCCTCCTGGCGGTCCTGCTCTCTTCGCTCTCGGACTTCCTCAGCTGCGGCGGCTGCGCGCCCCCGGCCAGCGTGCCCTTCTGGCTTTTCATTAGCACCTGCATCATGTTCCAGCACATGAAGGCTACGGAGAGCAGGACCACGAGGTAGACCACGAAGGCGCCGAAGATGCTGGACTGGAACACGGTCCAGCGGCTGGAGAGGTTGGTACAGATGGACATATTGGAGGTCTCGGGCTGCTCATGGTGGCGGGTGCGGGAGCGGTTGCAAGTGAGACCCCGGTGGTTGGGCACGTTCACCAGGGGGTACTCAGTACCCATGGCAAACAGCAAGGGCAATGCCACCAGGGCGGAGGTGACCCAGACGAAGCCAATCAGCAGCTTCACCTGGCAAGGTCCCGACACAGCCTTGTACCTGAAGGGGTGACAGATGGCGATGTAGCGCTCAAAGCTGAGCGTCAGCACGTGCAGCAGCGTGGCGTAGCTGCAGGCCTCGAAGAGGAAAGTGTGCAGCTTGCAGGACAGGGTGTAGCTGGGCGTGGTCAGGGGGTTCCAGATGATGCTGTAGAACTCCATGGGCATGCCGATGAGGAACACTAAGATGTCCGAGCAAGCCAAACTCACCATGTGGTCCGTCACCTCCTTCTGCAAGTATCCTTTCTTCTGTAGCACCTGGGTGACCCGAATGGTGACGCTGTTCCCCAGAAGGCCCATCACGAAGATGACCAGGTACACCAGGATAAGGGTGACTTTGATCCAGGTGGCCACCTCGAACTCGGGCACATGACTGTGATCAATGACATGGGAGCAGTCACTGCCGGGGCTGCTGGGTGAAGCCATGAGAAAGAGCACCAGGCTACCAGGTCCAAAGACTTCCTCAACTTCCCTTTCTCCTCCCAGCAGAGCCCAGAGTTCTTGGCTGCAAACTCACCTGCGTGGGCGCACGACTTTATCTCACTCGAGTTCTCCTGCAGGTGCTTTCATGAAAACTTCCTGGAGCAGCCCAACCTGGGAGAGGCCCAGGAGGCGCCTGGGTGTTGGGGTTTGGGTGTATGTGGCGGGGGCGAGGTGGGGAGAGGGCGGAGGAAGAACGTTCTAAACTGGCTTGCTGGAAGTGAAACCAGCAGCCCCTGGCGCTAGCCTCTGCCCCTCTTCGCCTAGGGCGCGCTCTGCCTGGCAGCCCTACCCTTCCTTTCCAGCTGTCGGCACTTGAGCGACCCGGTCCACCCAAGCTGCGGGAGGCGGGTTGGTCAGTGATTAATCATTAACCACAGCGGGTTGTGCTCAGCTGCCCCGCTGCAGACCCAGGCCAGCGGCGGGGTTTGACTCAGCACATAGGCACGGTCCCTGAAATCAGATCTTGGCTCCCGAGCTACTAGCGACCCACCCCCGCCCCACCCTCCGTCACCCAGGCGGCCGCCGCAGAGCCAGCAGCGGGGCTCCAACCCGAGGCTGTCCCAGGAGGTGCAGCCCCGGGGAAGCTGGCGAGCCCTCCCGAGCTGGGAGAAAGAAAAACTTCCCCTCGCCCGCCCTGCCCCCACGTCCACCGCTGCCCTGGGGGGGCCCTTCAAAGGTGGGGTCACGGCCCATTTGGGGGTGGCTTGACCGGGGCGTCCCAGAGGAGCCAGCAAGCGCTCGCCTTCTCGGTGGGGCGTTTGCCAAGGACAGCTGGGCTCTGCGCTGCTTGCAGCCGCTGCTCCAGGAAGTCGGCCCCAAGCAGGTTTTCAGGATCCCCCACAGAAGCCCTGCCTTTCTCCAGAGCCTCCCGGTGTTTCGCGCAGGGCCCTGCCTCGCCTTCCCACGGAGGGACGCGAAGACCTCGGGGTCTCGCCTTTCAGTTTCGCTCCAAGGTGCAGGCCGCTTTCCCGGCAGCGGGACGTCTTTTAATTGGGGACATGTATATGGATGAGGATGGCACTCCGCCAGGAAGCCCCAGGTGGGAAGCATGCCCTCCGGAGGCAGCTGTGCCGAGAACTTCGAGGACAGCAGGAGGAGGCTGAAGGCTCTGACAAGGCCATTATGTAAAAACAGCATTAAGGATCATGACCTTTTCCCTCGAATGGACCCATTTTCGTCTTTTAATTCCACAATCAGAGGAAATGGACAATGAAGGGGGAGGAAGGCTGCCTTATGCGTTGTAGGATGTTTAGCACCTACATACACACACCCACAGGGACAGCCAAATGTCTCCAGACATTGCTAAATGCCCCTTGCCAGGGAGTGGCAAAATCAAACAAAGTCAGAACCTCTGCCTCGAAGGAAGAACATGGATCCCCTTTATCTGTACATTCTAGGAGCCTAGCACAAGCCCGCAGGCCCTACGCTGAGAACATCTCTAAATTAAACCTGTCGCCGCAAAGATGCAGTCATTTTAAGAAGCAATTCTGCTGCCTGGAGGACCTATGCTTCCCCAAGGCCATAAAAGAGTGAGGAAGAGCAAGGTCTTACTGAGATGTGGAATCTTAAAATAAAGTTAAATACATAGAAACAAAGAGTAGAAAGGTGGTTACCAAGTCCGGGGAAGGAGAGGAAATGGGGACATGTAGGTCAAAGGACAAAATAAATAAGTCTACAGATTTATCATACAGCCACAGGACAATAGTTAATAATGTTGCAACGTAGATTCCAAATTTGCAGAGTCCATTTTAGGTGCAACACACACAAAAAGGGGTCACTGTGGAAGGTGACAGACACATTACTTTGCTTGACTGTAGTAATCATTTCACTTTGTATATCAAACCATCATGCTGCACACCTTAAGTATATACAATTTTTTAAAAAAATGGTTAGTGACAGACTTGGAAATTAATCCTGATCTGCCTGGCCCATGAGCTTGTACTCCTAATTCTGGGAATGCAGTAGGTGCTTAGGAAATTCATCCTGAATGGTGCATATAGAAAGCTTCAATAGAGGTATTTTATTTTGTTTTGTTTTTTTGAGACGGAGTTTCACTCTTTTTGCCCAGGCTGGAGTGCAATGGCGCCATCTCAGCTCACTGGCAATCTTCGCCTCCCAGGTTCAAGTGATTCTCCTGCCTCAGCCTCCTGAGTAGCTGGGATTACAGGCATGCGCCACTACACCTGGCTAATTTTTTGTATTTTTATAGAGACAGGGTTTCACCATGTTGGCCGGGCTGCTCTTGAACTCCTGACATCAGGCGATCTGCCCACCTTGGCTTCCCAAAGTGCTGGGATTACGGGTGCGCCTGTGCCTGGCCAGGACTGTTCTTTCTGCACACAATCCTGGAGCTATTGTCTGACGACCTCAATAATTATTTGATTTTAACATTGTCTAGGAAAAAAAAAGCTGTATGGCCACTGGATCTTTAAAATTAGCTTCATATGTGCCTTTCGTGTTTTCTCTTTCTCTGTTCTCTCTGTTAAATCACAAACTCCAAAGCCAAAATGTGTATCTTCTCCCTCTCTGACAGCTTGACATAGCACCCTAAATAATGTTTCGTGGGAGGCCTGGCCACTTGCGATGTGTGCTACTTGACCTGCTTGTTGGCATTGCTGGAGAAACTCCTAACTCGTTTCCTCATTGGTGCACTACGTTCAGCTGAAGGACCTAGCTGGCCTCACAGGAGTAGCGTAATGGGGGTAAACATGGACTCCTGGGGCTTTTCTACCTGCAGATGAGGACTCTGAATCCACTCATCCGCAGAAGACCCTGGTTGTTTCTATCCCACAGGAAATTCATCCTGAAAGGCACACAGAGAAACACTGGCCTGTACTAGGATGTACCCACAGATTCCCCTGCCCTACACACACATACACACACACACACTCACACACACACTCGCTCACTTATGCATACATGCCTGCCCCTGTCCACTTCTTTCTTTTCAAAGCTGTAAATAAACTAGGAACCTCACCCTCAGCCCAGCCATAGAGCTTTCCTTGGAAATTCTCCTCTGACTCATTCTCTGAGCCCCTATAACATGTTGGGCACTTTCCCATAATTCATTTCTCTCAATCCTTACAATAGCGCAAGGTGGAGATTATTACCCCCATTTTACAGGTGGGGAAATTGAGGGTGGAGGATTAAGTGACTCACCAGAAAGGCCCAGACGCACCAAAAGCACATACCATGCTATTGCGCTCTCTCCCTGTGCCAGGACAAGACTGTGCCAGGCAGAACAGTGGCATTTTGGGGAGAGGTGTGTTTTTTTTTCAGTCGTCAGCCTCAATGCTTCTCACATCCTTATCATATTGGATAATTCCACTTTGTTCTGCTCAGACAAGATTTCCATTATTATCCGGTTCCTTTCATCAAATTCTTCTTTCCCAAAGAGTGAACACAGATTAGAAATGCATGGCCAAACAGTGAGAATCAACCTAATTAAAATTCACTCTTTACAGTAGAGATGGAAAAATACATTTTGAAAAAAGGTCCAGGAGAATTAAATTTTCATTTCACCTTTGCTTTTCCTAAGGCCAATTAAAAACGGTTTCAAGTGCTCTCACTTGTTGATAACAGACGGGTATAGCACCTGGCCTCGGTCTGTGTAATCTAGAAGTTTTATTAGCATACTGTGTAGAGGAAAGAAAGAAAAGGAATGAAAAATGAGAGAAAAAAAATACTCTGGGTATCCTTTGATCTCAACACAACTCAGGGCTCACTCTACTCTAGGCCCTGCACAAATTTATATTCCCATTCTACACATCCTAGGTGACTTTTGAGGTCACATTGCCTAGTGGTTTTCACATTTTTTTAGAACAAAATCTCATTTTTGAAATATAGTCTTACACTGGCACCCAGGGTAAACACACACACACACGATTATATTTTTGTAAATTTAAATTTATTTTATATACTCACATTGATAACATTGACTCACTTAAAGTCGATAAACAATTTACAGTGAAAAGTAAATAACATCTTGTTTACAAAGGTTTGTTGTGACTACATATTAAGCTACAAAGAAAACTTAAAACATCTTCAAAAATTATAGTGTAGATAACTTTATTTATAGTATAATATAACTAAAATTAATAAAACCAGAAAACTGAAACATAAAACTCTACCATCTCAAAAATTTTGTAAGTCTCTGGAACAATTCTTTGTCAAAGAGAAAAGCAAAACCCAAATTGCAGATTATCTAGAGAATAATGACCACAAAAATATTGCTTATCAGAACCTGTGGAAATAGCTAAAGGAATCCCTGAAAGAAAAACTCATAGCCCTAATTATTTCTGATAAATAAGAATAAAAATAAATAAAGTTATAAAAAGAATAATATTAAAGAAGACTGTAAGAAGGGATTAATAAAGATCAAAGTAATTATGAAATAACCAGATAGTAAAACTAATAGGTAAGTTCAAAACCATATTTGTTTTGTTTTCTTTTGTAGATGGTGGGTCTTGATATTTTGTCCAAGTTGGGCTGAACTTGTGATCCTCCTGCCTCAGCCTCCTGAGTAGCTGGGACTACAGGTATTTACCACTGCAGCCAGCTAAAACATTTTTTTTAAGTAGGACCTCTGCTTTTGGCCTTAAGAATAATGAGTATTAGGCTGTCAGCCTGCACCCATCCCCAGTCTCGCACCACAGCACGGGTTGTGATCTCTCAGGGAAGATAAGCTGGTAAGGTAAACCCTGGGATCACTCAGGCCTGCTGTGTGGAGGCACTTTGCAGACCATGGGGCAGAGAAGGAACCCCAAGGAGAGCACAGTTATCTCACTGAGTTGGGGAGTGAGAGACTGGAATTCAGGAGGAGGCTGCTGGACTTCACAAAGAAGAGTACTGGAAAGGAGGAAACTACACAGAGAGAGAGTTCCGGAGATCTGTGCGGAAGTCCTCTTCATTCTTTTACCAAATACTCAATGGGCATGTGCAGATGAAACTCCAAGAGCTAGGCAAAATATCATGCTGAAGAAAGAGCGACTTGCAGGGGTGGGGCTGTAATTCGGGGGCTATAAGTCAAACAATTCCCAAAGTCACATAGAGCTGGGAAATGTTAAAGTTTCAACCAATAATAGAGAACAGACCTCACTGGACCAACCCTGGAAGGGCCAGATCTTGGTAGCACGAAACTAGCCACAGACCTAAGGCTGCTGTAGACCTGTCTTAACAAAGATACTGACCTGAGCTATCTAACATGTCAACCATTACCCACTGTGGCTAAGAAACATTTGAAATATGGCTAGTCCAAACTGAAATGTCCCTGAAATATAAAATGCAGACCAGATTTCTAAGAATTTGTGTGAAAAAAAAGAATGTAAATTATCTCATGAATAGTTTTTATATATTGATTTCATGTTGAAATGATATTTGCTATAATGGATTAAATAAAATATATCATT